TCACCCGAATACGCTACTGGCCAACCATCTGCTCTATCGCCAACATGAACAACACAAATATCACTCAAGAAAAATGGTTCGTACGAAATTTTATGAAATACCAAATATTTATTTACTTTTTTATATACTTTATATATATGTAGTATATATTTATATACTTTTTTTATATACTTTATATATACTCTATATACTTTATAATAATTATATACATTTATTATTATTACACATCATAAATATCTATCACATTTAAAATTTATTGTCATAACGATTGTGATTTCAGCAGCAACAGCAACGTGAGTACTGCGATATTCCACCGGATCTGTGGTGCGACAGCTATGAAGCTGCGCTGAAGTGCGATGTTGTGCTGCAATGTGACGCGTTTAGACGACACGCGCAGAACAACAAACTGAAGTTGACGCTGATTTATGAGGTTCGCTTTCGCTTGCGGTCCTTTTTGTTGGATGCGGTGTCAATTGCCATATTGTCAACTGTCAATTGCCATATTGTCAAATATCAATTGCCATATTGTCAATTGTCAAATTGCAGGCACTATGTCCGTATTGTCAGCGTTTCATCGTGAACCATTTGGGCGCGTTGTATCACCAGTTCAGACCGTTCATCGAACTCGAGCTGGTGCCGTGGGGAAATTCACGCATTCTGAGGGTTGGCGGCTGATTGCCTTGATAAATTTAATAATGATAATCCAATTAAATTATGATGCTATCGGATAGTAATGCATTTTAGTGATAGTGATAATTCAGTGATTATAATAGATTTGAGTGATAATAGATACGATTTAGTGGTATTAATGCAATGATAGACTACATTACTATTAGACAATAATGTAGTAATAATATCAATGATAATGATAATTACGAATTTTATAGGATTTAAGTTTACTAGGTATAGGATATAGGTATAGGTATAGGATATATGGGATGTATCTGTTATAACTTTATTGATAAATAAGAGTAATAATAATAAATGTAATAATAAAAATTAGGATGGCAGTATCAAGTGCAACCACGGCCAAGTGGAATGCGACGCGAATCGACTGCAAGGCTGCGTTTTGGACCATGTGAAGATAAAGCACGCACTACCGTTCATCATTTGCTTTGAACGGCATTTTGGAGCGAAATTGGATGTG